TGATCTTGCCCCCAATTAGGCATGTAACTATATTCCCCATTTTTGGGATAGGTATGAAAGAAAAGGCTCACTTTTTCTTTTTAGGCTTAACTTGGTCAATGAAGGAATGATTCCTTTGGGTAAAGTGTTTGGGAATTAGGCTCATGAAAGATGGCCTTTGATCCTTGAGCTTTTCACTTTAGACCTCAAAAATGACAACAATCATTCAAATTAAGTTAGCAAGATTTTCTTACTCTCTCTTTTTTTTTTTTTTTTTTAAATCTTTATCCGCCATTTTCTTCTTGTATGAGTCTATCACATTTGACTACAACTTTGGCCTCTATTTTGCAACACATCAATTAGTTCAAGGAAAGAATCTAGATCACCATCATCTTCCTCGACATGGATTTGGATCATTTGAAACATATACCAATCCTGAAATGGCATCATTGTATTTAGATTCATCATTAGCAAAGCATGAAAGCAAAAAGAAACATGGATAAGCAATAGCATGTGAGTAAAGCATATATATGGTGAATGATGTTTGGACAATGATTAACAAGAAGAGTTGCATCAAGTTTAATGGATGGTGATATGGCAACATGTGTTACTGAATTGTAAACACTAGAAAACTAATTAGTATGATAGCAAAAATTTCAGAGAATATAAAAGGGCTTGTCATTTCTTCTGTTCATGTAGCCACAAGTTGAGCCACCAAAAAGCTGACTCATCCCACTCATACATGAATGAAGCAGAGAAAAGCTCCACTGTCCAATTAGCCAAAGTGCTTACCAAGGCAGGAGTAATGATCATGTTAAACAGGGAGCCATCCTTATGAGTAATAATACTTAGGGTTCCTTATGTCTTAGATTTGCCTCCTCATTCATTGAATCTAGATCCACACGTCTCGTGTGCAAGTCCACTTCAACATCATATCTTGGTGAGCTTATAAAAGCATGTTGAGGCCGCCTTCTAGATGGATGATGCATTACTCCAAAGAGAGAGAAAACATAAGGAGATTGTCATGCCTAATTTTTTTTTCTTTTTTGAAGTAGTTTATGAAGCCTACCTACAAACAGAAAGTAAAAGAAAAATAAATAAGGTCAGAATAATGTTAGAAGTCATCCCATAATTTTGCATGATTTAGTGCTTCAACAATTGTTATATGGATTCACACATTATCGATTTCCAATCCTCAAGGAGCCTTAGATGAAGCAAAATATCTTTGAAAGCATTGAGATTTCCATCAGACTTAAAGGGTTGTATAGAAGACATTTACAAGTAGTTCAACATGCATTACAAAGATGGTCATTCATCACAAAGTAGCCTAGTACATCACACTAAGTACATCAACATGATAGCATTCAAGTCCTTAGTAAAATCTGACTCCTAGATCTTTCAAAGTGCAATTATTTAATGACTAGTTGCATTCCTTTCCTTGGAGAATCCCATGATTGCTAAAGCCACATAAAGTGTGATGTGCTCGAGCTTTTGATCTTCAAGGTTGCTCTTGGTTCTTGTGCTTCTAAGTTTTCCCCCCTAGACTTGGCAATTGTGAATGATAGGAGAGAAATGCTTGCAATTGGAGATCTCCTCAATCCTTTGTCGGTCAAAACTTTCTCCATGGATGAATACTTTAAAAGGTGTCTAGATTGATAAAGATTCACGCTTGACCATGTATGAATCCATATCTTAATTGTTGAAGGTAGAGAATCAAACAAGATTATGGGAGTGCAAGAAAAGAAATAAACATGGTTGCCAAATGAGAGATAATGGATGCCAAATGAGAAATAACGGATGCAGGAACATAAATATGCTCTAAAGAGATAATGTGTGTGAAGTTGTATCCTAAAACATGGAATTTTGGGAATGCAAGAAAAGAAATAGATGTGGGTGGAAAACAAGGGATAAAAGGTGCAAAAGCATAAATATGTTTAAAAGTGGTAATGTGTGTGAAGTTGTATCTTAAAGCATGGATTTTTCTTCATTAAGTATGCCGAGCAAGTTTCGAAGGAAAAGTTGATGATTCACTATTGCAACCACTAAGTAGGCATTCATAGGAAATATCGTCCTTTGAAAAAGAGAAAATGTCATGTAGCTAAAAGAAAAAGTGAATGGTGTGACGCTAGAAGAAAATGATGACATGATGCTCCAAAGTTATGTGTTCAAATTATTTTGATATCTAAAAGATGGATTTTTCGTGAATTTATTTTTGAAGAACCCTTTCTCTTCTTTTTTTAATTTTTTTTATGAAGTTTGAAACATGCACGTATAAATTTCTTGTAGAAAAATGCTAGATGTTGAGAACTTTGAATGAGAGCTTGGACAATTTTTTTTTTTTTTTGTTGAAAATCATGACTTGAAGGATTTGATTGAAGAACAAGAAAATATGAGGATCATATTTTACTTTATTGTAAACATGAAATGACATTTGACATGGGATGGAAGATGTGATATAAGGTTGAATATGAGTTGCGATGAAAAATGAGATTGAAAATGTAATGTGAGCTGAACATGGATAAGATTTTCATTTTTATGCTTTTTTTTTTTTTTTGAATGTGAGAAAGATGAGATGAAGAAATATGAGAGGCAAACTAACAACATAAAATGGATGTAGATAAAGTTTCCATTTTTTTTAAAAAAATTTTCTGCAACTTTCATATGAGATAGGAGATGTAATGTGAAGAACATGGTGGAATTTCATTTTTTTTGTAATTTTTGTGAAATATGAGATGAAAAATGAAATGAAAAATAAAATGTAAAATGAATGAAATGGAGAATGTCACACGAGATGAACATGAAAACATATTTTGCAATGCATGAGATGGAAAATGCAATACAATGGACATACATGAAATTTTTAAGACATATGGAAGATTTAATATGAAATGAATGGGATGGATATATGAAACAATCATGAACTTCTCTTCTTTTTTTTTTTCTTTTTTTTTTTAGTGATGTACGGGGTTGAAAATGAAGATACGAAGTGTATGGAATGCTCCTTACCTCAAGAATGATGTGTAAATGCAGAAGATGAATAACTAATCATATCTCAAATGTATATAAAAATGAAAACCTGTTATATGCGGAGACAAGGTTAGTGAAGTAAAATGCCCCTTTGTGTCTTAGACATGGGATCCCTATCCTCACGGGTGGGATGCTAAGGGAAACATGTCTTAGGGTTGGTATCTCTCTAAGGCCGCTACATGTTTTCTAAAAGGACGTTAGGCCTTCTCAACCATTTATCCTTTCAGAATCAACAAGAGATATTTTCAAAAGCTAACATACATGATGATATTACATCATCAAGTGTTGTATTAACCAATGGAAACAACCTAACGGGAATCGATCTTACTCTTCAAAGTGAGAAGAATTGCTCTTCCAAGCCAGATTCGTAAGGATTCCAGACTAGAGGTCGGGTTCACCTTAGTCACGGACCTAATGCAAAATGAGAGTGAGTGTGTGCAAGGGGCATGACACTTCAATAACTTGCATAATGGTAGCCACAAAAATAGCAACATATATCCCATGGCAAGCAAATAAAGCATGTAAAGCACTCAACAAATACAGCATCCACAAACAAACCTACTTACACAGTAGGAAGAGACTCACCTGGTACTCTCATGCCAAATGCAAAAGGTTAGCACATCCATAAACAAGCAAGTAGGCATGTAAGCATGTAAGCATGATGAATGATGAATAAGCATGTAACACCAATGATAAATGAGCATGTGAAATGATATGATGCATGAACATGTAAGCAAGGTATGATGCATGTCAAGATGTAGCAAGGTAACTACTCAAAGACAAAAATGATCAAAGCAACCACTAAAATAATGAGCAAACAAGCAACAAGCAACACGCGACAAGCACATACAATAAATAACAAAGACCCACAAAAACTCAACAAACAAAGAAAAATCAAAAGTTGAAAATTCCCCAAAGTTGAAGTATTAACTCGACCCTCATGAACCCAGAATATGGAAACCAGAGATTCTAGGTTCGATCCCCAGTGGAGTCACCAATCTGTTGACGACCACACTTAAAACATTAAGTTAACATTTTTACATTAAGTGTGAAAGATATAAGAAAATGAGTCACCACTTGTCCAAATTATAAGGTGGGACAAGTCACCTAAAAAATAGGTCTACACAGAGATCGAGGTTCGGGGGTTCGATTAGGAGTGAGGAAGGGCACATGTGCACCTCACAATTCTCCGTTTAAACATGGTTGCATACTTTAATATTGGGATTTTAATTTAACTTATTTATTATATTTATATTTGAGTCTTAATAGGTAAACTTAAGAAAAGGATAAACCAAATTGAAACATTTTTTTTTTTTTAATTTTTGGAATGAGATGGACAAAATCAAAGACATGCATGCACCACAAGCACAAATAAAAATTAAAGGGACTAGTTTGATTAAATTCGAAACATGAAAGACTGATTTGATTAAATTCAAAATATGGAGGGCTGATTTGGAAAAGAGTTGAGATCCGTGGACTAAATTGCTTAATTATAAAATTTTTGGGTGAAATTAAAATAAAAAAGATAACTTTGAATTTGACCGAAATTAAAAGAAACTAAACGATTTAAGTTAATTAACTATGCTCATTAGTCTAATTAAATGATTAATTTAATATTAATTAAAATTAATTAATCATATTTATTAACCTTTAATTAAAATCATTAAATAAATCTAATAATCTCAAATTAAAATCAAATAAATATGATTAATTTATTTTAAATAAAATTAATTAATTTCATTAATCATTAATAAATTTCATTAATTATAAATTAAACTGATTAACTTAATTAATTATTAATCATACTTATCTATTTTTTGTTTTAACTTTTTTTTTTGTTTTTTTGTTTTTACTGGATCGGGTTGGATCGACCTGACCCAAAACACAACCCAAAAACACAATCTTTCAAACAGATAAACACAAAACAGATCAAATCTTGAACAAAAACCAAAATCCAAATGACATAAAAAGAAATTTAGAGTTCATCATTTTACTTCTCATTTCCAGCAAAAAGATGAACATATTAATCAAGAAATAAACTGGACTTTTTTTTTTTTCATTCATTCATTTTTCAACGAACATACAGAATTTTAACATCAGATCTACAAAAAAAACAAACATCCATTGAAAGATCAAAACAAGCATGGTGGATTTTTGAAAGAAAAACATATCTGGATCTGATGGAAGGAATCCCATCCATGGGATCAAGCTTCCACCATCTCCTTGACCATTTTCCTAACAAAAATCCTCTGTTCAAAGCTATACCTCTTGCAACTCGTGAATCTCCTTTCTCAAACACCAATCTCCTTTCAATAGAAAAACAATCTTTTAGTCCACCGTCAACACCACACTCAAAAACCAAGAGAACCCCCCCTTCAATTCACCAGTTTCCTCCTATTTATACCAAATCAAACAAAAAACCTCAACTCCCTTCTTTTCTCCTCATCCAAACCCTTCAATTTTTCTTCTTCTTCTTTTTTTTTT